ATTGTGCCTTAGTTTGCAGACAGGGGATCCAGGATTGCCTACCCAGCACTGCCTCGTTGCTTGCTTCCTCATGTTTCTGTGTTGCTAACAGTAATACTTCTTCCCACCTGTCTGCAGGCAATGAGAGCATTGTTGAAGTCTGGAGACACTGAGAAAATAGTGTTCTTTGCTGGTGTCTCCAGACAGAGGGAGATTTATATCATGGCAGCCAACTACCTACAGTCACTGGACTGGCGAAAGGACCCAGAGATTATGAAGAACATCATTAGCTTCTATACCAAAGGAAAGGCCCTCGACCTCTTAGCTGGCTTTTATGATGCCTGTGCTCAGGTATGTCCTGTCCATTCTTCGAGGAGTTGGGTTGGTGAACGCTGGCAACAGGACACAAATCTTATTTGTCTTTTTTCAATAGGTGGAGATCGACGAGTACCAGAACTATGAGAAAGCACAGGGAGCCCTGACTGAGGCATACAAGTGCCTGTCAAAAGCAAAGATGAGAAGCCCAGTAGAGCAGGAGAGCAAACTGGCACTTTTACAAAGCAAGATGGCTTTGGTCAAGCGATTCATCCAGGCTCGCAGGTGATTTGCAGTGCTCAGAGCACACAGAATGGATGTGGATACACCGTGGCTGTGTCTATACTGCATCCCTTTTCCAGAAAAGGGATGCCAATTAGACATATCGCAATTGCAAATGAAGCGGGGATTTAAATCTCCCCCACTTCATTAGCATAAAAATGGCTGCCGCTTTTTTCCAGCTCGGAGCTTTGCTGGAAAAAAGTGCCAGTCTAGACGCGGATCTTTCGGAAAATAAAGCCTTTTCCGAAAGATCCCTTATCCCTTTAGGAAAAGGCTTTATTTTCCAAAAGATCCGCGTCTAGACTGGCGCTTTTTTCCGGCAAAGCTCCGAGCCGGAAAAAAGCGGCAGCCATTTTTATGCTAATGAAGCAGGGGAGATTTAAATCCCCGCTTCATTTGCAATTGCGATATGTCAAATTTGCATCCCTTTTCCGGAAAAGGGATGCAGTCTAGACACAGCCTGTAGCTGAGGGAAGCAGCAGCACTGTCCTATGCAGGCAACACTTCTGAAAGCACCTTAACTTTTGAGTAAAAGGTGAAGGTAGCCTTGAGATGAGTGCCCTATCCCTATCCCCCTACTTGGAGCTGAGATACTATGAGGGTGGCCATCTTACAGAAGGGAGGCTTTGGGGTCTCCAAGTGGTTCAGCTAACAGCCAGATGCAGTAAAGGAGAATGCGCCTCCTTCCTGCATGAGCTGACGACACTTTCAACCTGTTCTCTCACTAGAGTTTACTCTGAGGACCCTAACGAAGGAATCAAGCAGTGTGAGCTTCTCCTAGACGAGCCAGACCTTGATAATACCATCCGCTTAGGCGATGTCTTGGGTTTTCTGGTTGAACATTACTTACGGGTGGAGGAATTCCACATGGTAAGTTGGTCTTTGTGCATCATCCATGGTCGTGGTGCTGTTCAATACGTAAGGACAAAGGAGCCCTAAGGAGCTTAGTCTAAATGTTTGCATCCCTAGGGGTGGCTGCTCTCAGCCTTTCACAGGTGTAGATGTGCCATAGCAGAGCTCCCCGGGAGTGTTTCTGTTGGCCTTTGCCCTGTAAGAGAGCTGCGGTATCACTGCCAAACACTGTGTGTGTCTT